TCAGTTGATTTCTTTAGGTTGATAAATGCTACCAAATCGCCTGAAGGATGGAAAATACCAAAACCCGTGAATATATCATTTGATATTACATTAAGTAATGATGATATAGTGAAATTTGACCTGCCAAGTAATGCAATCTGCGATAATAGCATAGGTTTAGGAAAAGGTTGTATAGCTGTTGTGGATGATAGATCTGGTCCATTAAATACGTGGATATTCGGAACTCCATTTCTTCAAGTAAATAAATATATATATTTAAAAAAAAACGTTTTATAAAAGAAATCAATATAGTAATTTATTTAGAAGTCAGATAATGTTAGAATATTAATCATTATTAATCATTATTTATTTCTTTCTAAAGAACTTTTATTTTGCGATCGACCTCAAGCAAAACCTTATAAAATTTGCTAATAGAAATAAATTTTGTCCCCCGTTAATTACGCAACTTCCTACGACTACGCAAAATTCTACGGCTACGGCTACAAGGCAAAATTCTACGTTTACAACGCAAAATTCTACGTTTACAACGCAAAATTCTACGTTTATAACGCAAAATTCTACGTTTACAACGCATAATTCTACTTTTACAACGAAAAATTCTAACGCTACAACGCAATTTTCTAAGCTTACAACGCAATTTTCTACGGCTACAACGCAATTTTCTACGGCTACAACGAAATTTTCTACGGCTACAACGCAACCTCCTAAGGTTACAACGCAATCTCCTGAGGTTACAACGGAATCTCCTGAGGTTACAACGCGATCCCCAACAAAGCAACAGAAAACAAAGCGACCGAGGAAAACAAAGCGACCGCAGAGAACAGGGAAAAAGAGAAAGCGCAAGAGAAAGAGAAAGGGCAAGAAAAAGAAAAATGGCAAGAGAATAGGAAAGAGAAAGGGAGTACGCGGTAAAAGAGGACGCGTTAGAGGAAGAGTCATTAGAGGAGGCTCTGGTGGCGGTGCATCATTAGGTCGTGGATTTGGTGATATTTTAGGTAACATCGTTCGTGGTGAAGCTGGTGGTGCCATGGCTGGTTCCTCTGGTCTTGGTCTTGGTCTTGGTATTTTTGGTGGTATGATTATTCCTGTCGATGAAGTTGACCAACCTGAATCTGAACCTGAATCTGAACCTGAATCTGAACCTGAATCTGAACCTGAATCTGAACCTGAATCTGAACCTGAGCCTGAGCCTGAGCCTGAGCCTGAACCTGAACCTCAATTCACTACGCCTCAAGCTTTTCTAAGTGTGCCTACAACTCAGCAATTCATAACTCAGTTTACATCACAACAATTCACAACTCAGTCCAATACTCAAATATTTACAACTCAATTTAATACTACTCAAATATTCACAACTCAATTTAATATTACTCAATCTACAATTCAGCCTACACCAACTACTCCCAATGCTGAAACTGTAGTTATAGATCTACTGCAGTTTCCCATGGAATTGGTTTATATAGTTATAGATCTACGGAAGTTTCCCATGGAATTGATTTCTAGAAACTAGATTTGAGAGTAAATAGGATTGGTATTTTTAATTTCAAATAACTAAAAAGACAAGAATTTTATAATATGTAAACACATCATACTTTTAAATAAAACTTTTAATCTGTTATGTTTTTGAACATCTCATTAAAATATCATAAATAAAAATTGGAATACAAGTCAAATTTATTTCTTTTTAGAAAAAAAATAATTAAATTAATATTACTGCTACATTTTATAAACAAATTATTTTTATTCAATGTAAAAAAGTTTAATAAACTTATTGGTGTCTATATTAAAAAAAAATCTTTAGTTTCAATTTACTGGTTTGGCAATAAGATATTAAAAGTACTAATGGTTATTATAGTAAAAGCTTAAAAAGTTAACCTTTTAATAAAAAAAAAATACTGTATTATAATGAAAAGTATTTTGGTTCTAGAATTTAAATTAAAGTTAAGAAATAATTATCAATTATGTTTTTTTTTAAATTTGTAATCAATCACTTAGCCAAACTGGCATTACATTAATTATTAATATTCTAAGTACATAGTTTGTAAAAGTATAGCTTGTCATACATACAATTTTAGTTATTGTCCATTTAAGAGTTTTATCTTAAGATTACCCACTATCTGTCATATTTGACCTTCATTTGTGGATGCCTTATTTAAACTTTCTAGATTACCTAATTAGTATTTGTATATCTTTTCTATTTTATTCTAAGACTAACTAATCTTGTTGCTGCCTCTTATTAAAGATCATTCAGATTTAATATTATCATTTTTTGCATTATTACTCTGGTCATAGTAATGTCTGTTATTTGACAGTAAGTTGTAATAAGTTTTTTTATTAATTTATCTATCTACTTTATAGACCTTAACAGAGCTATGCTTTTGCAAAGTTTATTTGTATCTTAGTACTTATTTCATAGCATATTCTTAGTAATTTAGTATATTCTTGTTTTTAAACTCTCAATTCAGATAGCTTGGAAAACCTGTAACTTGTTCTTAATATATTGAATCTAGTCTAATATCTTTTTTTTCTAGTTTGACCTAATAGTCTGATTAGTAATACTCTTCATCTAAAAGTTTTTGCCTATCTGATTTCTTTATATTAATATATGTTTTCTTAGTTTAACCTTTATAGTAGTACTATAAAAGATCTCTGTTATCTTTTTATTTGGTTTTTTTAAATAGATTTTAATTTTCATAATTCTATGAATTTATACAGTTATAAAAGTTTATTTTAGATTTGCATTATCTAGTATTAGTTTTATCTTTTTGTGTAATTAAAATTATACAGATGCTTTGTAATCTGTTACTTATTCTAGTGTAATTATTGTTACAGATATCTTATTCTGACTAATTAACAGAATGCTATTACTGTTATACTATCTATATATTACATAAATGATTATTCAAATATTACTTTTAATAAGTTTTAAGAATAGGGGGTACTATATTAAAATTATATATAAACTTAATAGTAAATTTTTTTATATTTAATTTTATAAAAGATTATACTAAGTAAAATATATTAATTTATAAAAAAGTTTGTAAAACAGGTCTTTCTGATTCTAATAATAGTAAAATTATTAAATTTAATTAAAAACTTAGTAAGATATAATTTTTTAAAGATTAGGTATAAAAATTATTAATTAATTAACTTATAAAGTTACATAAATTAACCAATCAAATTTAACAAATTTAGTAATCTCATGTTACTCCAGAAAATTTCAAGCTGACTCGGAAAATTTTTGTAATATATACAAGTATATATTTTTTAAATATAACAATAGTTCAAAATTTTACTATAATAGATAAATTATTTTATTTATA